TTATTATATAAATAAATTATGAAAAAAAAAATATTTAGTTCTAGTACTCAGAATAGGAGCAATAGAAAACGTTCGGCTACTCAATATTATTATTATTATTATATATGCGTGTTTTTATCCACATCTTAAGTAACTAGCCTCCCTAAATGCATACATACTGGAATCGTGTATATATAGTCATGCTTGTAGTTATAAAAATCTGGCCATTACACGACTTTCACTTACCACCGTCTTCTTAGCAATAAGTATTTTCAAACAAAGGGGAAAGTGAAAGTAAAAATTATAGACTTATATTTATTTACATTCCGTTGTGGGTATTTTTATTTGTTTAAATACTTTTACATATACAAATTTTAATGCATATATCACTATTATATAAAGTATACATGCAATGTAATATTAAATAATACCAACGATAGCGTTTATGAGAACCTCGTATGTATAAGTACATAATATTGTCAGTCCGTATTATATTAAGCTGATACTATGTATGAAAGCCAGTTGTAATCATTCGGGTGAGCTCGGGCGCGCTCGTATTTCTAAGATTCCTCTATTACAAGTATTATCCGTTAAGATCTTCTATTTCCCCTTTGGTTAATTATAATTTTTTTTCATTTTTTTATATTTTCTTTTTTTTTATATCAAAGATTAATGTAAAATGATTAGTTACTTGAAATAAAAAAAATAAATGTACTTTAGAGAAAGCTAATATCGAAAATTAGCAATTTAAGCCCTATTATAGAACATCAATGAGAGTAAAACCTACATTATATTAAAAACTGTTTGATAATACACAGTTTACGAAGTTTAATCAAAATCCTCAAAGCTGTTTTTGGGAAAATCTTAAAAATGTGTCATATCTATGATATGAAATACCTCTTCCGGTTTGCCGATTTTTTTTAGGTTACGAAAATGTTGCTTTTACATCGATGACTTATAAAAACATTAAATATGCAATTTTACTTTCGTACGGCTTTTTGTTTTTGATCTAGGTTGATCACATACATACACAAACACACACTACCATTTAACGGATCTTGGTTATTTGGACTCAGGAGACCTCAAAACCTGTATTTCCATTGAAAACTCAAATTTTCATGATCGCAATACTTACTATATTGCTAATATAGATAAGTGAAAGTAAAATGCATTTCTTTTATATCAGTCGTGAGTCCACTCTGGAGTAGAAAGATCCAAAAGACAAGAAGCACACTACTCCTTTACAACATCATACCTTCCTCTTCCTTGTTTCAGGAGGAAACCTGGTTGTTGCCGAACACATTATATCGGGATTGATCAACAAATAATCGTATTGGTATTTTTTTATTATCATATTTTTTTTATTATTTTAGACCATAATTCAACTTAATTTTCATCTTATCTTCCTTCCACACCACACAGAGAATAAATATATCCTTCCTGGAAGGTACTATTTCCGCTACTGCAAACATTTGATTGTTTTGGTAACCGACTTTCGAGTTCTGTCCCGAGATATATTTACTTAGCATACTGACCGCCGTGGGAACTTTGAGCCGTATGCCGCTTACCAACCAGTCTCCTTCCCTTCAAAATGTGAAATAATGACATACGGAAAATCCTGATTCGCCTAAAGATATAATATTTACGTCGAGGAAAAAAATATTTAGGCCTGTTATGTTAAATAATATGTAGTTTTAGCCACAAACTTCAAATTTTAACGTCTGAATGCGGTGTTTTGGATTGGGACTAACATTTTTTCGGTATTTTCACTGACTGAATTGTAAACTATAATACCATGATCAAGTTTACTTAAGACGAGGCTCCGGTATAACATAAGTATGATTGTTGTGTCAGCTCCCCATGAATGACAACTGACCGTTCTTGACACATTAAGTGACTGCAGGCATTCACTTTTGATTTATTTATTTTTTTTTTTATAAATGGTAAATAAATTAAATGAAGTAAGAAATATTAATATGAATGAACTTCAAAAACATAACACTATATTTACATTGACAAAATAACTTTAAATATAAGCTAACCAAAGTGCTGAAATGCTTAACCATTTCTATACTTGCTTACACTAAATTAAAGTTAACATGTACACGGAGAGGAGGAATTAGTATCAGTCTTCATTGTATATCTTGCACCCATTAGTATCACAATAAAGGACGCTTAAACAACTCAATATGGCGAGCTCCTTTTTTACTACCGTTGGACACCCCATTCTCCTCCAAGTGTAGACTTGATCATTATTTCACATACAACAAAGCATTTATTATAAAACAATAATGGTTTCAATGAATAAACAATTTCATTGATATGACTGAATTTAAATTAAGATATTAATCTTCTATTTTTTTTTTATCACGTTTTACTGCCAGCTTCTCTAAAACGGATATGTAGAATAGCGGACAAAACATGATTTCCCATTGATGTCTCATACAGGGAAGTTATAATGCGTTCTAATAGACTTCGATAGATTTTTAAATATTTTTTTTATTTTTTTGTAGTTGAAAATAATAATAAAAATTAGAGTTTAAATGGTAAGTTATTTATTTTTTTGTTTCAGGCAATCAGTGACATCTTGTTAGGAGTATTCTGTATGCCCTTCACCCTTATTGGGCAAGTTCTTATGAACTTTATATTTGGCCCAATCATGTGCAAGTTGATATCATATTTTCAAGGTAAGATTCAGATTTATAATAACTTCAACTTCCCTCTCACAATATTTTTCTTCATGAACTTTTATTGACAATATAATGAAAATTAAACCTTGAAAAAAAAAAATGAATTTTGAAAATATTATTGTGATTCATTATTTCTGTTTAAAAATAGTTGTAATTTTTTAACTATCGATTTAGTTATAAATAAAAAAATAACAATTTGAACTTATTTAAATCTCTGTTTAAATATATTTTTCAAAAATAAACAAACTAAAAATGTATGAATCCTAAGAATTATATTATAATAAAAATATATAACCCAATGTTCCAGAAAAAGTTGTTTTTAAAATGAAGTTACTTGTTTGTAAGTAGCCTAGCAATTAATTATTGTTTTAATAATTTTGCATGAATCTTCATGGTCAAAGATCTTCATGGTCTGTAGCGTCAACAGAAAAAAAAAAAAAAAAAAAAAAAAAAAAAAAAAAAAAATATATATATATATATATATATATATATATATATATATATATATATATATATATATATATATATATATATATATGCACGTGTGTGTGTGTATAAACATATATATGCATATACAGAGAAAATCCAAAAAAAATTACTTTTATAATAATTATTATTTGGCTTCGTTTTACCTTGGTATCGAGTGAAAAAATATATGAAAGACGGAGCTATTTTCTAGTGAACCTATAACATCAGTACAACGATGTTTAGACCATCTCGATAACGGCATAAACATAACGGTATTTAGTGTCCATTTTATTCTTTATTATAGAAAATTCAAATCATTATGCCTTCATTTCTTCTGAAATTCTGCATTATAACGTTTTGAGAGTTGCCATTGTATTAAAAGATTACAAGGAATATGCGAATATTCCTATATCAATTATTTCGGTTCTGATGAGATAATATCCAGGAATTTATGCATCAATGTCCTCAGAAAAACAAATCGTCCAGTTTTCAGGTTGGGGATTGAAAATTTCTTAATTTCGTGCCATAATTAAAATTTAACTCAAATACTAAATAACACGAAATTTAGATTATGTTGGGAGTAATTCAGCTAGGTCACCGAAGGGTAAATGTTGAATTAGCACCTGTTATTGAAGCGCAAATTACTGCGTTCAACACCAATCGCTACACACTGTTTATTTTCTTATGTGATAATCCGAAAATTAGTAGGATTGGTCGGAAATAATCACCGGGGTAAGCGAATGGTACCATTTATGTATGAGTCAATACATCAGGCACATTCACGTAAAAATCAATACACAGTGTTAGGGAATCAAAAGTTATATTTATGTTATAAATATTTAATTGTTTCACATATTGTTAAAATAGGCATATGTGGATAATTGTAATTAATTATTGTTGTTCTAAAAAGTTAAAAAGTGTAAAGTTCTAAAAATCTCTGTTCAAAGTTTTAGTAAAATAAAACCAAGTTTATTTCAAAATAGAGTACTGAAGTTATTCTAGCTTGAACCTAGGGATCAGTTATAACGGTTAGTTATATATTTGACCCCTAACCGAACATAAGTGGCGCCTGAACAGGGACCTGTTTAGTACTCCATTTTTTAGTTTGACTGGATTCAAAATGCAAAATAAGAAGAAGCAGAGAAGGATTTGCCGTACTTTCTTTACAAGGTACGCAAATGAATTAGAGCAGTTGCTCAATTGTGATATTCCTAATTTGGAAGAAATACCCGCTTATTCAGAGTTTCTGAGGAAGAAGTCAGTGATTTTAGAATCACTTGAAAACGAAATATTTGATCGATCAATAGAAAATTATGTTTCCGAAGAAGAACTAATGTCAGAATTGGAAGAGGCCAATGGAATCAGGAAAAGGTATGAAATTATTAAAATTAAGTACCAGAACGTCGTTAAAGGTGATAAAATTTCTATTAGAAATAATGATCGACATTGTGTTAATTTGGTTTTTTGACAAAATGAGATTTGATTCGTTTGAAACTCCTTTGAAGGTTTCTGAAAATGAAAAGACATCAATCCATGAACAGGTTTTTGGTGTCGGAGCATTGGACGATGAAGATGAAAACATATGTGCTAAAGATAATGCTAAGGAAGATAGCATTAGGACAATTGAGGATGAATATAAAGACATGTATGGTAAAGATGATGTTAAGGAATATGCTAAGCATGATGCTAATGATGAAAGCATTAGGGTAATTGAAGATGAAGATGAAGAAATTTATGTTAAAAATGATACATCCAGATATGACGTTTCTTTGAAAACCTGTGCTAGTTTGAAGGAGGCTAGGAGGAAAGAAAGACAAAAACAACAACAAATACTCGTAGTGACTGACTGAAAATTACAGTGGCATGGAAGGCCGTATACCACCTAAAATCCAGAGTTATGGAATAAAATACTGTCCACATTATGAACTACAACCTGACTGTGATCCAAATATTACTCAAAGAAAATTAGGATTTGGTCCTGAAGTTGATGGAAATGTCCAGGCAGTGAGAGGAGAAGATATAGTTAATTTCTCTGACAGAGCGATCATTTTAGGAGAATCATTGCCTGACCATCGAAAGGAAGTCAAAACTGATCTCAATGGAGAAACACAGACTGAAGAAGACAAAAATTCTGATGAGTTAAGTTTTAGACCATTCATTGGTTATCATGCTAAACTAGTGAGATATGAAATATATCTTGACTTTATAAAGATAGAAGCTAACAATACTTTGAAAAATACTCACCCTAAGAAATTGCCTCAAAGGATACGAAAAGAGAAGAATGATAAAAATGATGAAATTAATATTCAAAATATGAATGATAATCAAAATTCATCAGGTGCTGATACGGCTGCTCCAGAACTAATGTATGGTCCCTCATTACCAACCAAACCAATTTTCATTTAGAGAACTACTACAAATGAATTCAGTGGGTCATCTTTGTATGAAATAGAATCTACCAAAAAAGGTACTTCTAAGAAAAAGAAGCATTCAAAAAAGAGAAGAAAAAGAAAAAAGGAATTCTAGGATTTAAAAATGGAAGAGAGTTCCTTCAGTTACGTTTCCCTACTACTTTTGAACTGTATGAAACAATTCAAAACTCCTCAGGTGGGAGGATGTTAGGGAATCAAAAGTTATATTTATGTTATAAATATTTAATTGTTTCGCATATTGTTAAAATAGGCATATGTGGATAATTGTAATTAATTATTGTTGTTCTAAAAAGTCAACAAGTGTAAAGTTCTAAAAATCTCTGTTCAAAGTTTTAGTGAAATAAAACCAAGTTTATTTCAAAATAAAGTACTCAAGTTATTCTAGCTCGAACCTAGGGATCAGTTATAACGGTTAGTTATATATTTGACCCCTAACCGAACACACAGTATCTGTAATGTTGGCTACCACTATAACACAAAATTAACCATTGCAACCCAAATGAGTTCAAGCTGAGAGCGACACATAGCCATAGCTGAAGAGAAATGAGGAAGAAAGCGACTAAGACCTGAGTGTGAAGATGAAGTTTGTTTGTTTGGACTTCAGGGCATAAAACCCATGAAGTTAAAATTATGAAAGATATCGGGAAAAGAGGAGTTCATTGGGAGAAAATAAAAGATGTCAACCATTAGAAGACTGATAGAGCTAGATAGATTTTCTCCTCGCAAAAGTTTTTTTAAGAAATAGACTAAAATAATAATGAATATTTTATCTAAAAATATTTACTATAGTTTAATATTTACTTTGATAAAGAACCTAAAAAAAATATTCTTCAACATTTGCAAACAATAAAAGGATTTCATTAATAAGCTTTGACTTGGCCTCGATGGAATGAGATCCGAACCTTCCGGGACAAGTACCCGAAGAATTTCCGCCCCAAAGACCATAGAGTGACCATCATCACGCACGTCCGTAAAATGAAATTCTCTTCTTCCTTGTGCCTTTATATAGCAGAAGGCCTTTCTCCAAGAATTTCCTATCGAATGGAAGTCAATTACCGAACGTTATCATTTGACGCTATCTAATAACAGGAAAATTCTTGTTATATAAATAATATTATAAATTAAACTATGTCAGAGGAATGTGGATGTAATATTGTGGACGCATGTTATATTTTAAATTTTATTTTGATGTGATTTAAGCGTTTTATTTGTATTCCCTAGTCTAATAGATGATATTAACATTTTTTTTTTCTATAAGTCAATAACAAAACCAATCGTGCTTAACTCATGCGTGTTTAAAGCAACATAGTTTCTGTTGTTGATTAATTTTTAATCTGGTAAACTCTCTCTCTGGAACATTTTTAAAATAAATATTGAAACAAAAAAAGCCTGCCAAGTAAGGTCAGTCTATCTTCACCTTCTTCATTCGATGAACAGATCTATATCTCAAGGTTTATAATTTTTCGTACGAGAATAAAATCTCCGCAAGAAGCCTTTTTCGGAAATACAATAATCTCTCAACATTCACGGGTTTGTTGTGCACAAATTTTGTTCACCAGCGAATATTAAAGTAAGCAAGAGTTACACATTCTCAAATTGTGATGGAATAAAAAAAAAAATCCCAGTACATAATGAACATGCGTATCGCTACTGTTTGTGAAAACGGTCGAATGTAAAAATTGAATGTTTTACAGGAGAGCATAAAAACTAATTGTTTCTTTACGATTTTTTAGTATAATTTCATATTTCATTACCCTCTGCTATTTTCCGTCGTAACTTAAGGCAGCTAAATAATGGTAAATCCCTAGAGTCAGCGGTTCTCTGCTGACTCTCTATAAATACCCCTTCCTTACCCACCTAGCGGCAGTCAGACATTGCCATTCATAGTAGATAGTTAGATGCCATAGATAGTATAGTTGTTCATTAGCAATAGTATGATATATAGTTTGTTCACTGTAAACATTTTTGCCAAATAAACTTTTTTTTTTAAGTCCGAGTGAGTATCGAAGATAATTTAATTGTAGCAGACTGCTTATGTTAGTTGCAGACTACAAAATGTCATCCTTATAAAAAATATAAATGGTAAAATTTTATATACGATATTTTTAACAAACGGTAGCGATTTTAATATATTTAATATGGTATGTTTTCACTCTGAAACAGATAGAACAAATAATCCATTGGATAAATTCAACATTTGGTTTGTTCGGAGTTAAAGAGACCAATACTTTTCTTCAGTCAGATCAAATGTTATTAAGCTGGAATATAAAAATATGAGTGTGAAGTTTACACAACATTGATATTTAATGAGGAAATCGATACAACGACGAGGCGGTTGAACTTCAATAGAAATAAACGCAATCTCAAATAAGACTTTCTTTTTTTTTTACCAACTCTGGTCAAAATACTGTCTTAACCTTTCTCCCAGTCCATATGATCAATGACTTCCACATTTAACAGCCATCACATTGTTAGCAATTATTTATATTAATTTAGTTTATTAATTGGAATTCAATGAAATTGATACTTGGTTATTTCCATGCTATTCTCCAAATTTCCTCCAAGTTTGGGTTAAATCGAACGCGAAGTTTTTGAACTATTTGGGTGTCAAATAACACATTTCCTGATTCGAAAGCGGAAGTACGTAATATCTGGGACCATCCAGATATTAATCCACACAATCTATGTAAATTGGATAAACGGTAGTAGGTGATATACCCGTTACATCTATTTGAGTACAGACAGACAGACAAACACCGAATCAAATTGATTCTTGATGTATGAAACGTAAATAGAATGCTTCCCTACTTTCGGTAATGAGGAAGCTAAACAAATAATTCTATTGTTAAATTTAAATTCATAAGTATATGTTATCAGTCATATCAGATAAATAAATTTTGATCTGTCATAAATATAATATTTTTTTTCTATTTGTTTACTTAGAGCCTACCCCTTGGGGTCCTTGACTTAATGTTTTCATTTTATATTCGTTCATAACAGTCAATATCTTTTAAATATTCGAGCAGTTTTCCTATTCCGTTTTCCTCATCTTGCAGAATTTCTTTTATTTCCGTTCCCATTTGTAAATGTTTCCTTATACCAGTGTACATTCAACATCCCATGTGATAATTTATATTTAATTTTATCAAAAAAGTTCAATGTTTGCAGAACATCGATATATGGAAATTCGATGTCCTAAGATTTAACTGCATATTGTGTTCAAATTTTTACACATTTTATTTTAAGAAAAGTATTGATAAAAACAATTAAAATATTCTTTTTTATATTATAGTCTATGTAGCAAATAGGCAATCTGTTTCAAAATAATTTTTAAATTAAGAAACGTCGAGCGGTTTTTTGTTGTTTTAGTCTGGTATGAGGATTCCAAGATGGAAGTTTGTCCACGTAAAGCTCTAGGTAACGGAATTTTTTAGTTCCGAAAGTTCTACTTTCTGCTCTTAGCTTGCTATTCAATGCGATATAGTATGTTTTATCTGGAGGATATCTAGTCCTGTACCACTTCGATCTTGCCCTGCAGAAAAGATTAAATGTATAAAAGCTTGAGGAGCAGATCTCTACCAGTAAGGCCTTATTTTCTCCATAATCTTGTATGAAAAAAGATGAAAGCAGATTTAGTTTATTCGATAACGCTTTTCTGAGAATATTGAGTGCAATGTTTAAATCAATTGAATGTGAAATTTATTTCTCATATTTTTTGTTTTAGTATATTCTATAATTTGTTTTCCAATTTTGATTTATCAGAATGACAAGAGTAGAAAATTATATTTGAGATCTCACAAAGGAACTCCTCTAACACAAATTGTGAACTCAATCAGCATGGTCTGTATAGGTGAGCAACACCTAAAAAACTGCGAAATTGTATGTAAAAAATGGTTGGATTGAGGAAAAAGAGTTACATTTTCAAAGGTCACTTCTGTAATATCCAGTTAGTTTACATACGAATCTTAATCCCTTCAACTTAATTAGGAAGGGTGGTAGGGATTCAAAAATCCCTTTAACCTTTTTAAATGTTAGTATTTAAGAAGAATAGCGTTCTGAGTATTTTTCCCCCTATTTTTCACTAAAGGAATTCTACAGTAATAATGTTCATTCCGTTTAACAGTGGTATCGTTATTTTCAAGTTCCATGATGTAGCTATGATTAGAAACCATGAAGTTGTACTAAATACAGTTCAGTCGATACCACATTTTTTTTCAATCTCGCAAAGGTAATGTATTGTTGTTGGAGGAACAATGAAATATAAAAAAATGCCGAACACCAATAGCAACTCACTCCCAAACTTTAGCAAACAAAACAGTTAAACGAGGGGAAAAAAAAAAACCTAGTTGGAACTACAAATAATCACCGGTTTCGCGAAACGTTTTGTGGATGGAATTGCGAGTTTATTTTGACACTATAGCTTTAGAGACTGATTTCACTTTATGCATTTTACGGATTAAAGAAAATATAATTACTAGTATCGTCTAGTAATTAGGAATGTAAGAAATAGTCACTATAAAATTGATTGGGGAAACTACATTAGGGCTTGACTGTAAATATCAGACGATTTTCCATACCCATGCATACTAAAAAACAATCGTTCCATATTCGTATCTATAAAACAGAATATTTCATTTTTTTTCTCAAATAAAATCTGATGAAATAGTAAAAGAGCGAGAAAAATATTATTATTGATGTAATATAAACTAATAATAAATTTTAAATAAATAAATTGTGGTAGAAAAAATTGTAATATTTTTTCCTTTTTATTATTATTATATATATATATATATATATATATATATATATATATATATATATATATATATATATATACATATAATAAAAGGATGAAATCATTATACTAGTATAGTAAAAGTAAACCAGGACAACGCAACAGGAACGTCCGATCGCAAAGCGATGATGAGGAAGCCGATTAGAATTTATGTGTTAGAGAATGACAATCGAATCCTG